GCGGAGTGGGGGGGTGCCAGAGCAGGGGTGGGGTGGGCCCAAAGGGCCGGGCCTCTTCTAATCACACCCCCGCTGCGCAGCAAGCGCTTTTCTGCGTCCGAGGCCAGCTTTCTGGAGGGGGAGGCCAGCCCCCCACTCGGCGCGCGCCGCCGCTTCTCGGCCTTGCTGGAGCCCAGCCGCTTCAGCTCTCCTCAAGAGGATGAGGATGAGGTCCGGCTTCGCAGGCCTCCCCGGCCCAGCTCCGACCCCCCGGGCTCGCTAGAGGCGCGGGCCTCCAAGGAAGGGGCTATTGGAGACAGCAGCCTCAGTTCTGGGGATCCTGACGCCCGTAAGTGCCCCTGACCACCTTCCCCAGTGCCCATCTAATGAGCAATCCGTGAGCCTACTACCATTGATGTGAAAATATCATTCAGCTTTCCTACCTTGAACTGGAATTCTCATCGTGAGGAACCCTGGTATGTGGTTTGCCAGGGTCAGTCAGAGTCAATACAGGCGTTTGAAGCCTTCTCTGTAGCAGGAGCTGTGCAGAACGCACAGGTCCCCTTCATTCATGAAACTCAAGCCATAGAGTCAAGTGGGAAGGGCTTTCCGGGCAGAAGTGAGGAGTCCTTGGCCTTGAGTTGGTCTCTAACCCACAAGCTCTCTTTTGCAGCTGACCGCGCACGCCCAGGAGACCTTGGCCCATCCTTGAAGGATGGAGACCCACTAGCCCCGAGGGCTACCAGTGACTTGGTTCTGCGCCGGGCTCGGCACCAACAGCTGTCAGGAGACCCTGCGGTAGAAAAGCGGCCTTCTCGAACCGGGGGCAAAGTCATCAAGTCAGCCTCGGCCACTGCCTTGTCCGTCATGATTCCTGCAGGTGACACAGTGTCCCACCTGGCGGGAGAGGGGATGTTCCTGTCTGAGCCTGCACTGGCCAACAAAACACTGCATACCACTCTCCACAGTGATTGGGTCCAACCAATGAGAGTCTATCCCGGGATTTGGTCTGATTTGGGAGGCCCTGACGACTGTTCATACTTTCTATCTGCAGTGGACACCCATAGCAGCTCACCCCTGGCCAGCCCCATGTCCCCACGATCTCTGTCCTCCAACCCATCCTCGCGGGACTCCTCGCCCAGCCGAGACTACTCACCAGCGGTCAGTGGCCTCCGCTCTCCCATTACCATCCAACGCTCGGGCAAGAAATACGGCTTCACACTGCGTGCCATCCGCGTCTACATGGGTGACTCAGATGTGTACAGTGTCCATCACATCGTCTGGGTGAGCACTCATGGGTGGACTGTGCCCCGGGGGTGTAGGGGAGGAGCCTTCAGAAGTGATGGCCCCCGTGGAGTTAGACAGCTTGAGTAAGAATCCCCTGAAATTATCTTATCACTTCCCGGAGCCTCGACTTCTTCATCTTGGGGGGGGGGCGGTAATAACTACTTACTATAGTGTTTGGTGAAGACAGTAGTGCCTGTAGAACTAGAGGTTTGGCTCATAAAACTTGGGTGTTTTCTGTTAGCAATCTTATTAACCTCAGCCTGTGGGTGTCCCATCTCCAGCATGTAGAAGAGGGGGGCCCAGCCCAGGAGGCAGGGCTCTGTGCTGGGGACCTCATCACCCACGTGAATGGGGAACCGGTGCATGGCATGGTGCATCCTGAGGTCGTGGAGCTCATCCTCAAGGTGAGCGCAGAGGAGGGGCCCGTGGGAGTGGGCACTCTGGGGGTGTGGATTCCGGAGTATCCTAAACAGCACGCCTCCTGCTGCCCTTAGAGCGGCAACAAAGTGGCAGTGACCACCACACCATTTGAGAATACGTCCATTCGCATCGGCCCCGCAAGGCGCAGCAGTTACAAGGCCAAGATGGCTCGGAGGAACAAGAGGCCTTCGGCCAAGGAGGGCCAGGAGAGGTAGGGGAGACAAGGGTGGTAGACAGTGCTATCCAGTTTGGGGTGTGTTGGAACCGTGGGCGAGGACTATGGTGGGACATGCGTAGGAAAGGTAGCCAGTGTCACCAAGTGAAAAGCAAAGACAGGACAGGAAAGCGAGAGGAACCAGAAAAGCCACACCAGGATTCTAGAGCTGGAGAAAAGGACTTTGGGAGTGTCTTGCGTAGGTGGGCATGCCCAGCCGGTGATGGGAGAGGCCATGCCAGATGTTCCTAATTCACTCGATGTGTTTAACTTGGACTGAAAGCGTAGAAGAGATTTCTATTTGGAATGTGAGCCAGGTAGGACTGAGCCTGTTGCAATAGTTTCTTCTCTTCTAGGAAGAACTAGAAGAGGTAGGTGCATTTCTAAAGACAGCGTTCAGTTCTTCTAAGTGGGTTTGACTTGGGAAATGAGTGGGTGGCGACTGGAGTGAGAGGAGTTAGACTGAACTAAGTAAATTTACTGCTGCCCTAACAGATGAATTGTAGAAGGAGGGGCTGGGAGAGGTTGGTTCTGTTTGGGTGGGTGGCCCCAGCCGGGCCTGGGCGTGGCCAGAAAGGGTGGGTGAGAAGAAGCTAGTTGGGTTGAACTAAGTTCTTTCCGTCCTGATTGGGCGCGCAGATGGAGAAGGAGGGACTAGAGGGAGTGGGCGGTCCCAGGGGCTGGTGGGCAGCGTGGATGGGAGGAGCCAGGAGTTTACTGATCAAGGGTACGAGCTCCCCCTCTTCTCCTTTAGCAAGAAGCGCAGCTCGCTCTTCCGGAAAATCACCAAGCAGTCGAATCTGCTGCACACTAGCCGCTCGCTGTCCTCTCTGAACCGCTCGCTGTCGTCCAGCGACAGCCTCCCGGGCTCGCCGACGCACGGGCTGCCCGCGCGCTCGCCCACGCACAGCTACCGCTCCACGCCCGACTCCGCCTACCTAGGTAGGTCGGGCGGGGCCCCTGCGCGCCAGCTGGAGGGCCTGGGGGGGGGCGCGCGGACGGGCCCCTAACCCCCTCCCCGCCCCACGACCCCCACCCAGGTGCCTCGTCTCAGAGCAGCTCGCCCGCCTCGAGCACGCCCAACTCCCCGGCGTCGTCTGCGTCGCACCACATCCGGCCCAGCACGCTGCACGGCCTCTCGCCGAAGCTACACCGCCAGTACCGCTCTGCGCGCTGCAAGTCGGCGGGCAACATCCCGCTGTCGCCGCTGGCGCACACGCCGTCCCCGACGCAGGCCTCGCCACCGCCGCTGCCCGGCCACACGGTGGGCAGCTCGCACACGACGCAGAGCTTTCCCGCCAAGCTGCACTCGTCTCCGCCCGTCGTGCGCCCGCGCCCCAAGAGCGCGGAGCCCCCGCGCTCGCCGCTCCTCAAGCGCGTGCAGTCGGCGGAGAAACTGGGAGCCTCGCTGGGCGCAGACAAGAAGGGCGCGCTGCGCAAACACAGCCTCGAGGTGGGCCACCCGGATTTCCGCAAGGACTTCCACGGGGAGTTGGCGTTGCATAGCCTCGCTGAATCCGACGGCGAGACAGCCCCAGTTGAGGGGCCAGGTGCCTCTCGGCAGGTCGCTGTCCGCCGGCTGGGTCGCCAGGAGTCGCCTTTGAGCCTCGGGTCGGACCCACTGCTGCCCGAGGGAGCCCCCAGGCTGCCCAGCAAGGAGGAATCCCCTGGTGGTACAGAGGCCTGCACCCCGCCCCGTGCGACGACCCCAGGGGGTCGGACCCTGGAGCGGGACGCCAGTAGCACGCGACATCAGAGCGTGCAGACTGAGGAAGGCACGGGTGGGACAGCCAGGGGGGTGGCCAAGGCTGCCCTTAGCCCAGTGCAGGAACATGAGACCGGCAGGCGCAGCAGCTCCGGGGAGGCAGGCACACCCCCAGTGCCCATCCTGGTGGAACCCATCCGGCCGGGGACCAAGACCGAAACACCTCAGCCTTCCGGGAAAGACTCCAAGGGACTGCAGCAGACTATTCCCGTGGCACCTGCAGTGCCTGAGGCCCCCCGAGGCCGAGAGCGCTGGGTGCTGGAGGTGGTGGAGGAGCGAACAACGCTGAGCGCACCTCGCTCCAAGCCTGCCTCCCCGAAGCTCTCCCCAGAACCCCAGGCCCCTGTCCTAGGCCCAGCGAAGAATGCGCCCAGCAGTACAGGGACCCCAGCCCCAACCCCTCCCCTCCTGGTCCCAGGAGCTAAGCCCGAAGTGGGTCTGCCCTCTCGATGTCCAGTTGAAGCTGTGCCCACTCCAGGCCTGACCAAAAAAGGGGCACCCTGCCCTGCACCTCCAGGCCCATAGCCAAGGGGGCCTCTGGCCCTGAGCTGTACAGCTACCTGTATACATATGTACACATATAAATAAAGTGCGTCAGTGCTTCGTGAACTTTCTGGGGCTCACACCACCCTCCTCCTAGTAGGGCAGAATGCCTAGTGTCCCACAAGTGCCCTTGTGTTTGTAGAGGGTGCAACTCTAGACCTGGGTGGAGACTTGGGTTGTTGTGGTTCCACCTCCAGCCTCACCTACACAACCCTCTCGTCCCTGGGCCTTCCTGAAAAAAAAAAGGCTAACAGCTCCAGCCACTAATTTTTCTTTTACTCAGCAGTCCTGTGTGGCAGATTAGGCGATTAAGTCATAGGTTAAAGCACATAATTAAGTTCACACAATTAAGATTCTGAGATTCAAACTTAAGTCCAAACTGGCTCCTGAGCCTAAGCTCTTAAAAAAGACTCTGCTCTCCTTCCTACTAACCCCGAACCCTCTGCTGCTGAGTTGATCTGAATCACAGCAACCCTCAATCGGGTTTCCAAGGCTGTAAGTCTTAACAGCTGACTGCCTCATCTTTCTCCTACATAGCAGCCGGATTTGAACTACTGACCTTTTGGTTAGTAGTCCAAAAGGTCACTCACTACGCTACTAGGCACCCTCTCCTCCCTGGAGGGTTCCCCAAAACCAAAACCCACTGCCTTCATCAACTTGATCATAGCAACCCTATAGGAAAGTGTAGAAGTCCCCCACAGAGTTTCTTTCTTTTCAGAACCAGACTATTCTAACATTCTCTTGAACAGCACCTGGTGGTTTCAAACCAGTGACCTTTCAGCGGCTGAGTGGCTAACTACTATGCCAGCAGGGCTTCTCACAAGGTTCCCAGGCCTTTACCAATGGCTGGAAGGCCTTCCACAGAGCAGGCAGCTGGGCACAAAGTGTGCCCCCACCACGATGTTCCTCTCTCTGGTTCCGATTCATGTCACCTACACAGGTCCAGGGTCCTTTGGGGGCCACACACCACTTGGAGTGGTCTTCAGTGGCATTGAAAGTTGGCCCACCTGGCCCAGGAAAAGCTGTTTGGGTGATATCCAGTACTTCCTGAGCACCTGAGCAATTGGAGGGCAGAATTCCAGCAGAATTGTGCCAGAACTGGACCTGCAGGTCACTGCCAAGGGCTTCTGCCAGCCAGCCAGAGTACAGGTCTGCAAAGGATGGAGAGAAGCATTGGCAGAGTCAGGGCCACTGCTAGAGATTAGGTTAGTCTCTTCCTCTTTCTGAGCTCAGTTTCCTCAGTTGTCAATTCTTGGCAGCATAGAAGATGCTGACATTAATATTAATAACCCTTCCTAAATAGCTTATAGGTATCACTTTATTGAAGTACTAAACCAATCCCTTATATAGCAGTAACTACCTTTTTTTTTTAGATGAGTAAACGGAGATTCCAAGTTTAATCACGCAGCCCAAAATCAAGACTTAAACCCAGTTTTATACCTCTCATGATTATGACTCCCAAAGAAGAACATGCATGCTTGGTCAGCCCTCAGAGACATACACACCCAGACACCCCTGGTAGAAAGTTTCCCAACCCTCAGTTTCAGGGCTTACCATTGCCAAAATTTCCAAACTTGGCAAAGCTCTGGAAAGTGGCCCCAGCCTGTGATGTGAGTGTTACACTGCTATTCCAAGGTCCCTGGCGGACATGGTTGCCCTTGACCACATCCTCCAGAATGGGGAATTTCTGGGCAAAGACTCCTTCCAGATTGTGGTCATACACCAGGGGGTAGGTATAGGTCAGTTGCTTTCCTGGAGGACAAGCAAGGGATGAGGAAGTGTGGGGGCCGCTCAACATCTGGCCCAGGAATTAAGGATTCACCCTGCTTCCCTGTCCCCACTCACCAATCATCAAGAACTGGGTGAGAGGAAAAGACACACAGAGCAGGGTCTGGCCATAGACTCGAGCACTATCAGGCCAGCTATATGCAGCAGAGGAGGCAGGTGGAGGGAAGCGTGGAACACTGTGGATTAACCAGAAGCCCCCTTCTTGATCCAGAAGTAGCACCCCTGTACCAAAAGACAGGGAACAGTGTAACTGCTCAAGGGAATTTGTAAGCACACCCAGACCCAAAATACCATCATCAGTTTGGACCTGGAGAAGGTGTAGTGTCAGAACCACTGTTTAGCTCAATTTCTCCAGCTGTCAAGTCTCCCAGTCCAGAGAAATGACAATGTTAATAGAAGATGAAGAAACAAACCTCTAAGGCCTGACAGAAGTACCTCCTCCCATGGCATCAAGGGGTCAACCGGGGTAAAAATTCACAGGGGAGCCATGAGCTCCTCCCCAACCTGGGCCTCACCCTTTGTATGCCCACGACTGGAAGAGTCCGGAACCCTGCTGGACTTAGGTGGCTGGTCATTGTAGAGCAGGAAAGCGAGCTGGGGAGATGGAGGGGGACTATATGAAGGTTTCCCCCAAGTAGGAATCCCCAGCCTAAAGTCCCACCCTAGATTGAACCCCGCACCCCAGCACCTGGCTGGTGTTGCTCCCATAAAGAGGCAACAGGCTGCGGCCCACGGCCCCCTCTGAACTGCTGATGGGCGTCACACCATCTTGCCAGCCTCCCGTGCTCGCGTCCAGATACTTGTACTTCAGCCCACTCCCGGCTGCGTCCTCATGCCCGCTGTGGGCTGGCAGCTTGTACACAACGAACCTGGAATTTGGGGAGCGGACAGAAGTGGAAGAGAGAAGAGAGAGGGCTAGACCTTCACCCCTCTGTGCAGGAGCGCCGGGGTCTTGGAGATGGTCAGCTCCCCGGTCCTCACCAGTCCACAGGCTGCCCCGAGTCCCCGTGGCAGGTCAGGGCCCAGGCAGGGACACCCAGCAGCACGGCCAGGAGCAGCGGGAGCAGCGGGCGCAGCGCCGACATGGGAAAATACGCCTCGTGACTGCAGGACTCAGGGTCACAAGCTGGGACAGGCCCCGACGCGTGCAGCTCTCGCTTCTCCAAATTTGCCTGGGAACTCGGGCCCGAGGCTCTGGAGCGTAGAGACGCATCCGCCCCTCAGACGCACCTGCTTAAACAGTGGCTCTGGGTCTCTAAGGGCAGGGCTTACTGTCAACGGGCTCAGTCCCGCAGGATCCAGCACCAACCCAGCGGCTTTGGGGTCCCCCCCACGGGGTCCCCCCCACCCCGCCCCGGCTCCCAGACCCTCCGGGGTTCCACGCTCAGAATGCACTCAGGCCACACCCACTTCCGGCAAAACAGATTGTGTCCGGCCTCCGACTCCGCTCCCACCCAATCACAGGCCAGCCTCCCCCTCAGTCCCGCCTCCTAAGGGACCTCCTTCTCTTTATCTTTTTCGTTCTCTTGTTTACCTGGTTTCGCCGCTTCCAGGCAAAAGAGTTGTAATTTTTCCTGTCATCACGGGACTCCAACCTTTGTTTACTTAAAGATTTTAATTAAGATTTTACTTTTTCCTAGATCCCAGCGAGCTAGCCAACAAGTCACTCGAAATTACAGCCAAGCGAAGGTTATGGGACCTTTGGAACACAGATCGAGGCGCTCTTAGTGTGTGAATCAGGAGATGATAGCTATGTAGTCGACGTGGTGGGGAAGAATGGCAAAGGCAAAGACTGTCGCTAGGTTCAGGGGCTAAGGGTGTGTACCACCTCCTCCCATCTTCCAGTCTCCAAAACCCACAAAGTCAGACCAACATTATAGCTTTATAGGGGAGGGCATTTTTACAAAACTCATAACCATTCACATGGTCAAAGAGCATCACCCGCACGTGAAGCTTCGGAAAGGGTCGCTGTAGAAGCTCCCTTCCAGATCCACAGTTTCTGGGAAGCTCCCCATCATGCCCTTGCTGTCCAGGGTCACCTGTGAGCTGGTCTGAGGATTCTATTGTCTTAGCAATTTGAGTCAGTTAATCTGGGATCTGTCCCCTGGATGATGTCTCTGTGTGGCTCGGTGTAACGTGAATCTGTGAGAGGCTTCCTTTGAGGATCTTCTAAGCCTGTCTTTGCATGGGTCCATCTTTGCAATGGTGGATCTGAGGGGCTGCAAGTCCAGATGTGGTCCATTTGTAGGAAAACCATCTCATGTAGCTAAAACATGTTCTTACTCCAACCTCAGGCTCCGGGGTAGATCCAGGTGCTGGGACAGGCTCAAAGGTGGCGCTTCATGTGCAGGGCTAGATGGTCTGAGCGCGAAAATGCTCTCGGACAGAGCTGGCAGCGGAAGGGCCGCTGCCCAGTATGCTTCCTGTAGTGACGGGTCAGCTCATCAGAGCGTGCGAACCTCCAGCCGCAGCCATCCCATGTGCAGGCATATGGCTTCTCCCCTGGGGGAGAAAGGGGCAGTGAGCATCACTTCCCTGCCACCACTTCCCCACTCCCCCCCATCCTCCTCTGCCCCAGGACATGCCACTTTGATTAGGACAGAGCGAGGTGAGTGAGGTGCCTAGGCAGAATCCTCTCTGACCTCACCTTTTTCCTTCCCTCTGTGTGTGCACCTGGCTGACATCAGTCCTTAGTCCCTACGCTTGGGCACACTGGCTTAATATAATCATCTATCTTCTCCCTTGTACCACGGGGCACCTCCAGCAGATGCCCAACCCTGTCCTCTCTGGCTTTGGCCCTTGGACCTTAAAGTCCACTCTGTTGAGGTAAAACCAGTCTGAGGTGGTCTACACTCTGTCCCTGTCATGTCTGACCCCCTTCTCCTGAATTAATCACTAGAACTAACCCCACTCTCTGTTCCCACTCCCTGAGCATAGACCCCGCCCCTTCCTGACTCTTTTCCATTCTATAATCCCCCCAACCTCATTTATCTGCCTTCTCCTTGGGACCCTGCTTCTCTTTCTTTGCTCGGTTCTTTCCCATTTTTCCAGCTTCTCTGCTCTCCAAGCCTATTTCCACATCTGCACTCTGTCCTTTGTGACTCTCTCCTGCATCTTGAAATCTGCACCTCACCTGTCTGGGTATTTGAAGTCCTGACTCTCAGCCATACCCCAACACACTTCATGTCAAGCAACCCGGCTTTAAGTCCCTGACCAAAGACTCTCACTTCGATCCCCTCTTGCCCTAAATTTGAACTCTACATTCAAATCCTACATCCGTGGCCTCGCTGAACATCTTATTGTCTCATCTCTCCGCAGTTGCCCCTCTAACTCTACTTCACTGCCTTGAGTCCCGCTTTTGGTCCAGGCTTTTCTCTCAAACGAGTTTTCTAGACCTTTTATCTGCCCCTATCCCCTCGCGTACCTCTGTCCAGCCCCCTTTGCAGCCGTAGAACTTCTTTAGCCCGGTTGCCGGCTCTTTTGGTACCGCCCCTTGGTCCTGGACTTTGCCTCTAGCTCCGCCCCCAGCATTACTGGCCCGCCCCCTTGAGAGGTTTTGGCCTGGAGCTCGCCAGTCTCTGTGCCGCCCTTTCCTGGCTCCTCGGGCCCGCCCCAATCCCCGCCCACAGGGCCCACCTCCAGTCCCGCCCACGAGCCATAGAACACGCCCCTATGTCCGCCCACGGCAACCTGGTCCGCCTCAATCCCCGCCCACGGCACCAGGCCCGCCCCCTCACCCGTGTGCGTGCGCAGATGCGCCTTCAGATGGGAGCTCTTGGTGTAGCTCTTGCCGCAGCCCGGATGCGCGCACGTATGCGCCGCTTGTCGCTTGCGCGCCCACGAGCGCCGGCTGCGCTTGACAGGCACGACTTGCCTCATCTCTCCAGGGTTTCCCGCGGGGGTCCCTACCCCAGCGCCCGCCGTCCCGGGTCCCAGACAACTCAGGAAGGAGGGCGCCGCGGCAGGGCCAGGTGTGGGCGCCGGGAGCCCGCGGTAGAGCTGGAAATGGCCCTGGTACTGCGGCATAGGGTACAGTGTGGGGTACCCAGACAGCAGCCCGTAGGGGTTCCCGGGCGCCGCGGGCACTGAAAACCCCGTCCGCGGGAAGTAGCTGCCGGAGGAGCCTGCGCCTGACCCGGGGTACACGGGCTGCAGCGTCAGCGCCTTGGGTTCAGGGGTCGTCAAGGCCAGGGCTGGACCCCCGAAAGAGTCGGAGGCCGGAGCTCGGGGGCCTGGGCAGGCCCAGCCCGAGTGCTCCTCTGGACCCACGAGCCCCGGGACGCTCGTGTATGCGCCCAGAGTCTCTGGAGGAGACGGATACTGCGCCCCAGTGCTCTCGCCGGGCGCCAGGGTGCCGGTCCGAGCCTCGCCACCCGGTTCTGAGAAGTTGGTGAGGAGGAGATCCAGGTCCCAGGCCACGACCTCATCCCTGTGGTTCTCATCCTCCTTGGGAACATCCTCTGGCTCCGGCTTCACGTGAAGGGGCAACCCCGGGGGTCCAGGGGGTCCTGGGCCCAGGTCTTGCTCCTCCTCGGGGCGCCACCACTAGGGGAGGAAGCCGTCAACATGAGGTTTCAGCACCCATCTGGGCCCCTGTCCAGTGAGGGCTTGGACCAGATGTCCTGATGTGGACAAGTTGGTTGCAGACTCCACAAAGGGGTCTTTTGGCCCAAGGCTCCATTTGCCCCCACACCTGCCCGCCCTCCACTCCCTAGCTCCAGGGACAAAAGTTGCTTGGGTCTTGCTGGAGACAAGAGATAAGACCCCTGTTATCTAAAACCCGCACTCCCCCTGGGGGAAGGGACATGACAGCTAGAGATGGAAGGCTGGAGGGGGTTGTGGATAGCCTTGCCTCAGTTTCTCCCCAGAGCCACCCTCCCCGCTCCCATCCTCCCAAATGTTGGCTCTTCCCTAGAAGCCCTGGTGGCTCAGTTAAAGAGTGTGGGTGCCTAATGTCATCAGAACCCAGCATCTTCGTTCTCAGGGAGAAAGCCATGGTACTCTGCTTCTGTGAAAAGCTCAGCCTTGGAAAGCCGATGAAAGCAACTCTATCTACTCCTACTCAGTTGCCATGACTCAGCATCATTGACTCCATGGAGGAGTTTGGGAACCCTTCCACCCAGGGTTGTCTCTGAACCTCAGACCCACATAGCACTCAGCTCAGAGCCTCAGTTTCGCACTACAGAACTGGATCCCAGAGCCTCAGACCAAGCACCCCTGGCCCACACCAAACCCTCCCCAAGTCTCCTGATTCCCGGCCAGGACTCAGCCCTGACCTGCATGCTCTGTAACTTGTGTCCAGACACCCAGCCAACCCACCTAGGCCCAGTGAGGTCCCACCTTGAGAAAGTCCGGTGTGTCCTGGAAGGGGCCCAGGGCAGTCAGTGTGCTGATGGAGGGCAGAGCTGTCTCTGCTGCAGCCATGGTGGCTCCTAGAACTTGGTGCCCACCCAGCCCTCAGGCCTCCTCTCCCGCTGCTGCCTCGTGGGCTCTGAGGCTCTGGTGGCCCCTCAGGAGATCCTCTCAGCACTCAGCTGATTGGCTGCAGCCTCTGATAAGGGCTGGCAAGGACAGTGGTGGGGGATTACCGTTTCTGGAGAACAGACCTCACCTCAGCCTGTTTGAGGCTGAGTCTTGAAGACTATCCATACATCCAATGTTGGGTTAGATGTCAGGGGGTGGGGGCCCAGGATCTGGGGCTGGGTTGCTACATAAAGTGAGGCACTGGGTCCCCAAAGGAGAGAAAAATGTGGCAACTTGCTCTCAGTTTACCCTCCTGGAGGGAAGGAATGAGAATTCTAGAAATGGGCAAAGCGGTACGGGGATTCTACCAAGGGGCTGCAGGACCCCTTTTGTTCCAAGCAGGGCACTGAAGCCCTCTCTCTCCCTGATAAACAGCAAACCGTGTTGGTGGCGGGATTTGGCACAAACTCCCTGCTAAGCATTATCAGACACCCCAGACATCGCAGACGGCTATCAGGTGGGGGCCCAGAACAGCCAAAGCTCTGTCCTCAGCGTGTAGGAGGGATGGGGGTTGGGACTTCTATTAGCTTGGTTTTAAAATGTCTAATTATGAACTCCCAAGGTCTGATCCTGTGGCAGGAGGGAGTGAGTCTGTCAATCAGCCCTTCTGTTATCGACCTGAGACCCTCATTTGGTAATTCTTGGCAAGGCCGAGGCAGTGCACTCCTATCCAGTGTGAAGGCCTTTAAGGAGGGAGAAGTTTCTCTCTCTTCCTGGTGGGATGAGACAGGCATGGGTCAAGCCTGACCTGAAGGAGATGTGGCCCCACTCCTGCCCTCGCCCTGGCTGGTGTTTGATTTCCACCTGACATGGCGAAAGAGTTGAGGTTTTGCATCTCAGACCTCCACTGTGGGACCGTGGGAGTCCAGGAAGTGGACATGGGCACACAGACACATAGTCCGCAGTCATAACCATGGAGTTACATGATGACACAAGTCCTAGGTCCTCAATCACAGATCATAGTCATCTCTGCTTACCCATGAACAGCTACACAGATTCCAGCAACAAAAATGCAACCACACTCCACATTTGCTACACCATGGTATCGCCACGCAAGGCTAGTGACCCAATGAATTAGATATGAGGGGTTTCCGGGCTTGTTGTCATGAAACTATAGAAAATGCCGTCGTGCAGCCCTATAAATCAGACATAACCTTAGACACACAGGTAAAAAAGATCACAAACCATTCATGATGGTGTATTAATACACAACCCTATATCATAAAATCAGGGAAGTTCTGGTGGCCAACTGATTGGAAGAGATCTGTATTTATTCTCATTCCAAAAAAGGGTAACCCGACAGAGTGTAGAAATTATTGAACAATGTCACTAATACCACATGCAAGAAAGATCTTGCTGAATATTATCCAGAAATGACTAGAACAGTACATCAGCAGAGTGTACTCTTCCTCTGGCAGAAGTCTGAGCAGTACATCTGCAGGCTGGGTTTAGAAGAGGCCGTGGCAGTGAGCTCTGGTAGCCTAGTGGCAAGAAGCTGCACTCCAATCCCAGAGGTGCACGGTTCATATCCACCAGATGCTCTGCTGGAGAAGGAGGAGCAATCTCCTCCTGTACCAGTCAGATCCGATTTGACAGTACACACTAATAATAATAATAATAATAATAATAATAATAATAATGAAGAGGCTGTGACACTAAGGACATCATAGCCAACATTAGATGGATCTTGGCTTAAAACAGAGAGTACAAGAAAAAATGTCTGTGTTTCATTGACTATGCAAAGGCATTTGACTGTGTGGATCACAACAAATTGTGGCTAACCTTGAGAAGAATGGGGATCCCAGAATACCTAATTGTGTTTATGTGAAACCTTCTACTTAGAACTAGGAAGCAGCAGTCAGAACAGAGAAGGGAATTACTTCATGGTTCATGATCAGAAAAGGTGTGTGTGTCAGGGATGCATCCTGTTTCCATAGCTTTTCAATCTATATTCAGGACAGATCATTCAGGAGGCTGAAATTCATAAGGAGAAACATGGCATCAGGATTGAAGGAAGACTCATCAACAACTTATGTTATGCAGATGACACAACATTGCTTGCTGAAACTGAAGACAAAATGAGGTATTTGCTGCAGAAGGTCAAGGACCTTCTTGTAGTCTTCAGTGTGGACTGAAGCCCAACATAAAGAAAACAAAGATTCTCAGGGAGCTCTGGTAGCCTAATGGCAAGAAGCTGTGCTGCAATCCTGAAGGTGCACAATTCAAATCCACCAGATACTCTGCTGGAGAAGGAGGGGCAGTCTTCTCTGGTGCCAGTCAGATACAATTTGACAGTACAAAAAGAAAGGGGGGGAGTAACACTGGGTCAATTAGCAGCTTCATGATGGATGAAAAAGAGACTGAGATTGTTGAAAGCTTCATCTTCCTTGATTCCACAATCAGCACTCTTGGCACCAGCAGTCAGGAAATAAAAAAGATGAATTGCATTGGGAAAGTCTGCTGTTAGGGACCTCTCTAGAGTACTGGAGAGTGATGACATCAGTCTGGAGACCAAGGTATGCCTGATCCAGGTTCTGGTCTTCATAATTACTTTCTATGCATCAGAGAGCTGGACAGTAACTAAAGATGATAGAAGAAGGATCGATGCTTTGAGGTGTGGTGTGAGAGAATAGGGTTGAACATACTGTGGACTGCCAGGAGAACAAAGAGGTCTGTCCTGGAGAGGGTAAAACCAGGCTACTCCCTGAAGGAAAGGATTTTGAAGCTCCGTCTCACATTTTGGGCACATGGCCAGGAGGGACCAGTTCTTGGAAAGGGACATTATTGCACAGGAGAGGAAGACCCAGGATGAAATAGATTGACTCAGTGACTGAAGAAATGGGATTAGGTCTGTTGGAGATGATGAGATTGGCTCAGGACAGGGCAAGTTTCAGAGCTAATGTACATAAGGTAGCTATGAGTCGCAGGCCTACTTGATGGCACATAATAACAACAGTGGTAAGAAGCTGAGCTGCAATCCCAAGGAAGCACAGTTCAAATCCACCAGCTGCTTCAAAGAAAAAGATGGACAATCTCCTGTGCAATTAACCTGCCTCTCAAAACTTACTGCAGAGTCCATCCACGAGTAGTCAGTTCCAACCTGATGGCAAACAACAAAAAGTATTATATGGTAAAATCAGACACATATAATCATCCACAAAATGGTACAGAATCTACAACCTTAGAGTCAGTAATGACCAATATTGGACTATAGAGGGCGCACTCAAACATAGGTAACCACACAGAGACCAGAACACCAATAGCTGAGAACATACACAAGCTTACCCAGACACAGACATATTAACACAGATACACAATCACACAGAGTGGACGCACCACGCAAAAAGATACAAGGCAGGAGAAGACAGCAATATACACGCAGCGTGGATGCACTCACTGTTGCTAGGTGCTAACTTACAGCCATCCTATGTCTGTAGAAGGAAACACTGCCCAGTTGGTCCTGTGTGGTCCTCACAGTGTTCCTTATGCTTGACCCTGCTGTTTAGCCACTATGCCAATACATGGATCTTTCTCTTTTTTTTTGACGTTAAAGTCCCTCTTCAGGACCAGGCCCTTCCTAATAATGTATTCAAAGCATGTGAGACTAAGTCGCACCGTTCTTGTGTTCAATGAGCAATCTGGCTGCATTTCTTCCAAGAGAGAGTTGCTCAATCTTCTGGAAGTCCATGTGGTAGAGAGTATTCCTCACCACCATAATTCAAAGGCATCAGTTCTTCAGTTTTCTTTGTTCATTGTCCAGTTTTCCATGCACATGTTGTTGTGCGGTTCCAGGATGCCCACTATGACTCATAGCAAACTTATTCACAACAGGTGGGAACCTTGCCTGGTCCTGCACTACTCTCTTCTTTTTTTAAAAAAAAACAACACAAACCCAACATAGAAAATGTTTTAATTTTTCCCATTGTTGCACATTTTCTTCCCCCTTTCCTCCTCCCTCCCTCAGCTCTACCCGCAATGCACCCTTTGTTCCAGATTATTGTCATACATATAATGTCTAATCAGTTATTCCTTTGACATTTCTTCTTCTCATCTGATCCTATGCCCTCTCCGTCATCTATCCACTCTTTTCCCATTCTCCCCTCATGCCTGTCCTATCTTATAACAGTGGTGTTATACAGTATTTATTTTTTTGTGACTGAGATATTTCACTCAACATAATGTCCCCCAGGATCCTCCATGTTGTATGATGTTTTACAAGTTCATTGTCTTTCAGTGCTGCGTAATATTCCATTGTGTGAATGTACCCTGGTGTGTCTATCCATTCATTTGTTGATGGTCACTTGGGTTGCTTCCCTCTCTTTGCTATTATGAATAACGTAGCAATAAACATGAGTGTGCATACATCTGTTTAAGTTAAGGCTCTGGTTTCTTTAGGGTATTTTCCCAGTAGTGGAGTTGCTGGGTCAAATGGTGTATCTATTTATAACTGTTTGGGAGAGTGACACACTGCCTTCCATGGATTTATCATTTTATATTGCCACCAGCAGTGAGTAAAAGTTCCAATTTCTCCACAACCTTGCCAGCATTTGTTGTGTGCTCCTCTGTTGAGATTTGTTTCTGGGGTCTACACCACCTTCATGATCGCTAATATATTCAGGCAGTGGTCACTGTGTCAACCCAGCATGATGAGGGTCTTCCCCTCTTTCATCAGTCCTCTCTGTCTTTTCCAGCATGTCTTTATCTAAGACCTGGTCCTTCCTGACAACATGCCCAATGCATATGAGATGAAATTTCACCATCGTTGTCTCGAAAGACTATACTGGTTTCAGTCCCTCCAAGACTGAATTGTTTATTCTTTTTTTAAAAAAAATTATTTTGTTTTATCATTTTTTTTTATGTATGTACTGTCAAATCAGATATGATTGGTACAGGAGGAGATTGTCCCTCCTTCTCCAGCAGAGCATCTGGTGGATTCATACCGTTTGCCTCTGGGATTGCAGTGCAGCTTCTTGCCACTAGGCCACCAGAGCTCCCTGAATTGTTTATTCTTTTGTCAGGGATATTCAATACTCTTCTTCAACACCCCCAATCCAAGGCGTTGATTCTTCTTTGGTCTTTCTTCTTTATTCATTGTCCAACTTTCAGATGCATACAAAATAATGTGAGACAACAGAAAATTCCATGCTTGGAGTTATGCTCAAAGTGACATTTTTTGCTTAAATGCAATTAAAAGAATTCTTTTATACACAATGGAAGATTATCCAAAAACAACTAGAACAGTACATCGACAGAGAACTACTAGAAACACAGGCTGAGTTTGGAAGAGGCCATGCCCAGAGATATTATTGCCAATGTCAGATGGATCTTGGCTAAAAGCAGGGAGTACCAGAAGAATGTCTATCTGTGTTTAATTGACTATGCAAAAGTATTTGACTGTGTGGATCACAACAAATTGTGGCTAACCTTGAGAAGAATGGGGATCCCAGAACACTTGATTGTGCTCATATGAAACCCATACTCAGACCAGGAAGCAGTTCTCAGAACAGAGCAAGGAAACACTGCATGGTTCAAAATCAGGAAAAGAGTGCAGCAGGGATGCATCCAGTTTCCATACCTTTCTAATCTATATGCAGAACAGACCATTCAGGAGTCTGGGCTTTATGAGGAGGAGTGTGGCATCAGGTTTGGAAGAGGACTCATCAACAACCTGTATTATGCAATAATACGACCTTGCTTGCTGACACTGAGGAGGACCTGAAACATTTACTGCAGAAAGTCAAGGACTAAAATTTTCATTATGGATTGAAGTTCAACATTAAGAAAAGAAAGACTCTTACCACTGGGCCAACTGACAGCACTATGACAGGTAAAGATGAGATTGAAGTTGTTAACAAATTTCAGCTTGCTCAGATCCATAATCAACACTCTTGGCACCAGCAGTCAAGAAATCAAAAGACAAGTTACAAAAGACAGTGAATTAAAAAAGAAAAAAAGACAAGTTACTCAGGGGAAAGCTGTCATAGGCTTCTCCAAAGTGCTAAAGAGTAATGATGTCAGTCTGGAGACTATGGTACACCTGATTCAGGCCATGGTCTTCATAATCATTTGCTATGCATCAGACAGCTGGACAAAAGATGAATTACACTGGGAAAGTCTGCTTTCAGGGACCTCTTCAGAGTATTGAAGAGCAATGGTGTCAGTTGGAGACCAGTGTGTGCCTGATCCAGGCCATGGTCTTCATAATTATTTGCTATTACATAATTACACATCAGAAAGCTGGACAATGACTAGGGATGATAGAAGGGGAATTGAACATACCACAACTGCCAAGAGTATTGAACATACAGTGGACTGTCAAGAGAACAAACAGATTTATCCTGGAGAGGGTGAAATCAGGCCGCTCCTTAGAGGCAAGAATTGTGAGGCTCCATCTCACTTACTTTAGGCATGTGACCAGGATGGAATAGTCCCTAGAAAAGGACATCATGCTTGGTAGGGTGGAGAGACAGTCCAGGAGAGGAAGAACCGGGAAGAGATAGATTCACACAGCAACTGGGATAATGAAGGTAGCTGTGTCTGAGATGGTGAGACTGGCTCAGGACAAGGCAAGGTTCAGAGCTATTGTAACATAGGGTCACTATGAGTTGCAGGGGACTCAATGGCACATAACAACAACATCAGATTTACCCAATGCCAATATATCATTTGATTCTCAGACTTCGACCTCCATGGCATTGATTGTGGACCCAAGTAGGACACATTCACTAGGATATTTCTTTTATGTCTATAATATGGGCATTTTGCAAGGAGGGACCAGTCCTTGGAGAGGGATGTCATGCTTGGGAGGGTGGAGGGACAGTGCAGGAGAGAAAGATTCTCTATGAGATGAATTGATTCAGTAACTGGGGTAACGGGGGTAGGTGTGTCAGAGACAATGAGATTGGCCCAGGATAGAGCTGGGTTTAGGGCTGTTCAACATAGTGTCACTATGAGGCGCAGGGACTCGACAGCACGTAACAACAATAATATAAAAGATGGAAGAGAACATGTGTGGGTGATAATATGGAGGAGAAATTGGAGCAATCACACATTGTTGGTGGGAATGTAAGATGGTGCAGCTGCTGTGGAAAATAGTGTGGGTATTCTTCAAAGCGTGAAGCACAGAATTACCACATACTCTACAATTCCACTCCTAGGTAGATGCTCCAAAGGCTGGAAAGCAGGATGTCAAGCAGCTCCTTGGACAGCAATGCTCACTGCAGCTAGTCACAATAGTCACAGATGGAAACAACCCCAAACGTTTATCAACAATGAAATGGATAGAAATGTGATAAACCAGTATGACAGAAATGAAACTCCATGTGCAACAATGTGGATGAAACCTGGAAACATTATGTTCAATGAGAGAAACCAGATGGAAGAGGTCACATATTCCTATTTTCTAATGATAATTATCTAGACAAAGAGGTTTCTGATTGGGAGAAAAGAGTTCTGGGAGTTAGTGACCAGGTGGTACACCAATATCCAGAGTGGCAAACCCTGAGCCTTCAGTTGGGTTTCCCAAGATCAGGTTTCCCCAAAACAGTTCCTCAGGGAGCATTAACACCGATGGGGGCATGAGGGAACAGAGAGAGTGACACTAGAGAGGTCACTTGCTCAGAAAGGAGGAGGAGAACACTGGACCAAGAGCTATGAACATCCTCAATGTGTCAGGGCAAAGAATGCTAGATGTATTAGGGCAATGATGGACTTCCTGATGTGGGTGGGTGGCTTCAACTGTTTTTCTTGAGGATAAGAAGGATGTGGAAGGTGGGAAAATTGAGGAACACCCAGGTCCCAGGCACTTAGGACCAGTGAACATGCTCAGACACAATGCCTCAGTTGCTTTCTTGAGACTCAGAGCATTGCACACACAACCAGTGTGTATAGTGTGTACTGAGTCAGTATTGGAAGAGTTCTTTTGAGGCAGGTAAAGGCCTAGCCTGAGAACATAAAGAGCATGTCAGTATGGGCCCCGGTTTCTCCAGCTGAGAAATGGGTTAGTCACAGTCAGATGTATATTTTCATATACAAGCAATTATACACCAAGATTCAAAGGCATGCCACATACGTGTTACTCATAAAACATCATGAAGGGGAGCAAAAGCACACACACCATGTCACGGTCACACTCAGACACATAATCACACACAACTGCACACCAACCAAGTCACACAAACAGGTAGAGACACACAACAACCCTAGAAACACACACACACACACACACACACACACCCCAGTTGCCTCCTCAAAAAGACAAAAGTCATGCACACAGTATTACTCAGTGCCACACACAGTATTACTCAGAATATCATCACACTGGCTTACAATTACACAGACAAGAAATCATACAGACATACAACCACAATTACAAAGTCACAAGCATAGCCATAAGACAGAAACACTGTCACACACTCGAACTCTTGCAACCAGGCAGATACAATCATATACTGAAATGTAACATAATCACATACATAATCCATTTAGGACTCACATTTATTAACAGTGTCACACATACACAATAACTACCTGAATTACAGACACACTATCAGATACACCCATTAATTCTCATAATGCACAGTCCAATTCTCCAAACAGACATAACCATGAAGACAGAGATCAAACAACCCCTCAGAGAAAAATAAGCTTACAGACTTAACATTCAATCAAAATCCAAACTGCAGTCACATACATACACACACCATCTGAGCCCTTCCACAAGCATACCTTTAACCTCACCCACTTACAGTTTTGTATTCACTCAGCTACAATCACACACTCATTACCAGTGAGTTGTTGCTGTGCACCATCTAGTTGGAATCGACCTCTTGCTGACCCTCTGGTGGGTTTTTAGAGACTATATAACAAGGGAGTACAATGCTCATTTTCGAACCGCTGGTAGCTGGGTATGTATATACCTACTAGGCCACCAGAACTCCCTTAGAACACACACACACACAGAGACACACACACAGAGACACACACACAGAGACACACACACACATACAGACACACACAGACACACACACACAGACACACACACGTCTACAGGAAACCACAGGCTACATAAACTTCCTGGGACAGCAGAACCGCTGGTAGCTGGGTATCTATATACCCACTAGGCCACCAGAACTCCCTTAGAAAACACACACACACACACACACACACACACACACACACGCCTACAGGAAACCACAGGCTACACAAACTTCCAGGGACAGCCTAAGAGTGGAGGCTAAACTGGAGAATCTCCCTTCCATCGTCTCTCACTCACTCTCCCGTATCCCATAAAAAAGACCCCGAGGTCTTTCTTTCTAGGAGACGTAGCCTCTAATTTTCCGCACACGCCCTCTGGAACTGGCTAACCAGGAATCAGCCGCGCCTCCGCCGAGGACCAATCAGAGCAGGAATATAGCTATCCAATCAGCTTGGCATGCTGCTCTTCCTCCCCGGTTTCTGGTTTGATCTTTAAAGGAGCCAAACAAGGTCTGCTTGTCTGCGCTCGTCTGCCAGGGAGAGTCGCCATGGCCCTTTTAAAAGGCAGAGTCGTGGAGGAGCCATGTTTTTAAGCTAAACCAATGAGAGATTTCCTTCGACCGTGCTTTTCCCATCCCTGCCAGAGGTCAAAAGCATTTGTTGTTACTCAGGTCTCTGACTTCTGCCTGACGCCGCTTGTCTTTGCTTCTCTTTTCTGCCTGCTGTCCTCATGGCTCTAAGAGGCGCCTGTGCGCGGCTGCTTAGCCGCGGTCCAAGCCTGCGAATCTTGCGCACATGGAGCTCGGCGGCCGCGCAGACCGGTTGGTAATGGGCCAGGTGATGGAGAGGGAGGAATTAGGAGCTCTGGACTTCCTGGGGTGACTCCCTTGCCCTGTATTTGCAGAGAAAGCTGGGAAGACACAGAACCGACTGACTAAGTGTAAGAAACTCAGCATTCACCGCGCGTGCTCGGTCTCCATCTGTCTGTCCCGGCGGTTTCCGTCCTAGAATCCGAGGGCTACATGTGCGGGAAGGCAGGGCTGTGCTCGGAGTCAGAGGGCCCCGGTGGTGATTTTCTGGTTCTAACGGGACTAACCCAAAGCTGAGCTCTCATGTCCACCTCCTAGCTTCGCGTCCTGAGTTTGACTGGCGGGATCCCTTGGTTCTCGAGGAGCAGCTGACAGCAGATGAGATTCTCATCAGGGACACTTTCCGGACTTATTGTCAGGAGCGCCTCATGCCCCGCGTTCTGCTGGCGAATCGCAACGAAGGTACATTGAGGGACAGGGGAGTGTGCACCCTGGGGCTTCCCTTCCAGATAGAGCGGCACCACCAATTCCCACCGGCTCTGCTTGCTCTAACTGGGCTTCTAGGCCTCTCTTCCCTGGGACTGGGGACTCCTGTGGGCCAGAACTAAGCCTAACCCTTGGCAATTTTGACTTGGCAGTTTTCCATCGGGAGGTCATCTCGGAGATGGGGGAGCTGGGCGTCCTCGGCCCTACCATCAAAGGTAGAAACACGCTTTTCTCCACACTCCAAACCCATACTGTCTCCTGAAAAGCCACCTCTGTTCTCTGAGCTGATTTCATGCTTCAAAGTGAGGCTGGTAGCCTTCCCTCTCCCCATGAGGATGAAATACAAGAGCCCTCACTCAAGTAGGGCCAACTTGGTGCCCCTCCTTGAATGCCACTATTTACCTTAGTCTTTTAGGCCCCTGAATCCACTTGTCTCAGATGCACAGGGCTTGCCTCTGTTGCCCTACCTACCCCAACCTCACTAGGTTATGGCTGTGCTGGGGCCTCATCTGTGGCCTATGGGCTCCTCGCCCGAGAGCTGGAGCGGGTGGACAGCGGCTACAGGTCAGCGATGAGCGTCCAGTCCTCCCTCGTCATGCACCCTATCTACGCCTATGGCAGTGAGGAGCAGCGGCAGAAGTACTTGCCCCGGCTGGGTGAGTGGTGGCCTGTGAGGCCTAGTGTAAGGTAGATAGTTCTCATGGTCTGCCGCTCAGGGGTAGGGGTGTCTCCTGAGCTTGCCCTCTTAGCTCAAAAATAGCATTGATTAAGCCACGAGGCCTTTAGTCTCACCCTGGTGTCACCTCACTAGCTTCAATTAGGTATCACTTGAATCTGTCAACTTTCTTGACACCCATCGCCCCCCTCCTGGCTTAAAACCTTTCTCTCATCTCCATTCCAAAGTTTAAAGTCTTAAACTTTGTAACTGGGCCCAGAAGGCCTCACGTGACCTGGACTCTAACCTTTCTACTTCCTATCTCCCTCCTCACTTATTACTCACTAGCCAGGTTTTGCTACTTGAATACTGACTTGGCTTTTGCACATCTGACATCTGCTGGGCGCACCCCACCGTCCCTCTTTTGACTTGACCTGCCCTGGGGCCTGGTGGGACCTCTGGCTTCCCCCACCACCCGGAATTGTTGTCTGCCATCACTCACAGCTGACCCTCCATTGGGTTTTCAGAGGCAGTACATTTAGTAAGAGGGAATTGGCCATCTTCTCCCATGGAGCAGCTGGTGGATTCAGACCTCCCTCACCATTTGGAGGGCAGTCATTTGGCCTTAATCCCGAGGTTTAGTCTAGAGATGTTGACAAATTCTGGTTGCAGAGGATGGATGAGGGCCATTCCTTACCCTCGCAGACCTGTGACCTGCCTTGGCCTCGTCCCTGCAGCCAAAGGGGAGCTCCTGGGCTGTTTTGGGCTCACAGAACCCAACCATGGAAGTGATCCTGGCAGCATGGAGTCCAGAGCTCACTACAACCCATCCAGCAAGACCTACACCCTCAATGGAGTCAAAACCTGGTGAGGCAGGCACCTGAGGCTGGCTGGGCAGGAGGAAGCTAGTGGCTGGACCCCTCACTATTCTGTCTAACCCCCAGGATCACCAATTCGCCTGTGGCTGACCTCTTTGTGGTGTGGGCTCGATGTGATGATAACTGCATTCGAGGTTTCCTGCTGGAGAAAGGAATACAAGGCCTCTCAGCCCCCAAGATAGAGGGCAAGTTCTCCCTGCGGACCTCAGCTACTGGAATGATCATCATGGACAATGTGGAGGTGCCAGAAGACAATGTGCTGCCCAGTGCGTCTGGTCTGGCGGTGAGCAGGGGACTACATCCTGGTCTTCCTTTCTAAGGCAAGCCCTGTGATGTGGTGTCCAGATCATAGTATTAACTGTTGAAGCTTGGCTTTGTGACTGGCATTCCAAAAAATCAGACCTATTTTGGTGGCCATCTTGCTTCTACAGGTTCTGTCCAGCTCGTTCCTTCAATTGAAGCCTTCCTTCCTGTTTACGACTAGTTCTGAGCATCAAAATCAGACACTGAGCTGGGTGGAAAGAACATTGTGCAGACCGAATAGACACTGACAAGGCCTAGTGTGCACGAGCTTGGGTGCCAGGCCCCTGTGTGGTCCTCAACAGCTGCCCCAGCGTGCCCTGTTTACATGGAATGCATGGCACCCAGGTGCTTCTGACTGAGACTCCCTTTCTCAACCCTCCAGGGTCCCTTTGGCTGTCTAAACAACGCCCGGTTCGGTATTACTTGGGGTGTGCTTGGAGCTGCTGAGTTCTGTTTGCACACAGCCCGGCAGTACACCCTGGACAGGTGTGTGGAACGCCTGGGGAGTGTGTCGGGTGGCTGGGTACCATTCTTTACCCTACTCCTATGTAATTTCCTAGCCCCCATCCACCAGACCTGTTTCATTTCATTTGTAAAATGGCCAATAAAGTTCTTGCCAGCAGTTTAAGGACTGAATGAATGATAGTGCTAGAGAACTGGTTTGAAAAACTTGGAGATTGGGACCATAAGGAGGAGATTGGGGGTATCCCTCCCTCTTGTCCTTACTCAAACCTTGCCCATCTAGGGTCCAATTTGGTGTCCCATTAGCCAGGAACCAGCTGATTCAGAAGAAGCTGGCTGACATGCTCACCGAGATCACACTGGGGCTTCACGCCTGCCTGCAGCTGGGCCGCTTGAAGGATCGTGACAAGTAGGTGCTGGGTGTGAGGTGGGGGGAGGGAGACAGCTGTGGGAGGAGGATCTCAGGCCACTGCTGGCATGAGGGTGCCCTGCCCTGAGCCCTGCCTTATGGTCCTTTACCCTCTTCCATTCTTTTCTCTCCTTGTTGGCACTTATAGGCTAGGCTTGAGCCAGCCTCTCTGCTTGGCCCTGAGTGCCTGTTTCCGTTGACTCTGTAGTTGGGTTTGTTGGGATGAGTTTGCCCAGGGTATGGTGATACCTGTATGCCTGGTGCTGGCTGAGTCAGTTCTCTGTAATCCACTGTTGTTGCATTTCTGTTGCACAACCAGGGTGACCCCGGAAATGATCTCTCTCTTGAAGAGGAATAACTGTGGGAAGGCCCTGGACATCGCCCGCCAGGCCCGAGATATACTGGGGGGCAATGGGATTTCTGACGAGTACCATGTGATCCGACACTCTATGAACCTGGAGGCAGTGAACACCTATGAAGGTGAGACCAGATCCCTAGGCCTAGGGGAACATGAGTGGAAGAGAGGTGAGAGGGATAGCAGGCTTAGTCCTAGCTCTGATGCCATCCTTGGACACTTCCACTGGAGGCTGTGAGTGCAAGGAGGTTGAGAGTGAAGCTACTCCTCCATTATGTTAAAACAAAACAAGGTAAATCAACTGCACATATGGCATCACCTCATCCTGTTGTGACTCACAATGGGGCTCAGAACCTTTTCTTCACAGGAAGATGATTTGTAAAAAGATAATTAAAAAGAAAAAAAGCAGAACTCTGAGCTGTACAGAAATAGAGGGCAACCTAAGAAGAGGCAGACACTGGAACTCTAAGGAAGAGAACAAAGCCATGTGTGGCCCTGAGGGAGTACAGGGTCTCCTGGAAGAGAGAACATGACAGCTTCCCCGTAGAGATAGCAGTGAAGGCTGTGTGTGACCTGGTACCTTCCTGTGTCTCCTAAAGACACTGGATACCCACAGGAGAAGCCCCATGGCCTAGCATCTTGTATCTGTTGAGCAGCTGAGTGAGCCATCTCAGAAACAGCAAGAACTATGGAGTAGGCATCACACAGGTGTGAAAAACTCTGAGGGCAGCAAAAAGCAAGAGGCCTTAAAGGCCCTCTGGTTTTCCAAAGGGGAAAGATAAAGTCTGGTTTGTAATCTCTACTTTCTGGGGTGGAACTTAAGAATAAGATCACAAGGTGGATAGGCCTTGAAGGCTGTTGGGGGTTGTAGAGACATGGAATGCTCTAGGCAGGTGGACTGCAGTAGGTGGGAGATTGCTGTGATGTGTGACTGGTTTGTGGGGTTTTTTTTTGGTGCATGTACCGTCAAATCAGATCTGACTGGTACAGGAGGAGATTGTCCCTCCTTCTCCAGCAGAGCATCTGGTGGATTCGTGTGACTGGTTTTACATGTTTGCATTCGCATCACTGTTGTGGGTGAGGAGGGGCCTGACATTTTCCATGTAGCTCATCAGCTTTCAGCCTCTGTGGAAAGGAAACAATACTCCAGTGAAAAGGAAACATTTAATCAAGTGTCAGGGGCTAGGGGAGGGCCAGATTACCACATGAGGGGAAGGGAGTACCAAGGCTAGACTCTGCATTTATGGGTCTAGCAGAAAGAGCTCTAGGTCTTAACAATATGCATCACAAAACTAGAAAACCAACTTGTTTATGTGGCTTGAACAGCAGCCTCTGAACCTCGTAGTGGCTGTCAGTCAGCAGGAGGGGAATTCTTGGTGCTGTCATTGTTCACCATCTTTGTTGTTCTGCTTTTCTTCCATAGCAGCAGCCTGGCAGAGTGACTTTAAAAGGAAGTTGTGAGCTGTTAAGATTCCAAACTCATTTGTACTTATCATTTCCAGGTACACATGACATTCATGCACTGATCCTGGGAAGAGCAATCACGGGAATTCAGGCATTCACGGTTGGCAAATGAGCACACTTCACCTGGGACCTGGAGACCTTTAAAGCCTCTTTTCAGAGAAACACCTGGGAGTTGTGATCTGAGTACGGTTATGGAAGTGGGGGTGGCCCTGAACTTTCCATGGCAAGTGAGAGACACTGGCCTTTATATATGAAAATCTCCCTTTTTAAGACATTCAAATAAACTGCTTAAAAAGAAGATGGACATCTCTATACAGTTAATCCATTTTAACCACATGATAATGGACTCCATGCACCTGGAAAAGCAGCTCTCTTGACAGGATCGTAAAAAGAAGGAAAATGACATCAGGAGTAACTTTTGAGACTGACCTGGTGTAAGCCAAAGCAGATCCCGTACTCCCAAAGTTCACTCTATGCCCTCTCGCTGTCCCTCTTCTGAGGGAGGGGGTAGTGCCTTATACTTACTGGACTAGGAGCATAAACAAGAGTGAGAGAGAATGAAAAATCTGCAACCCCTAACTCCACAGTTTGGGGCCACCTTTTTCTGTAACTTCTTGAGAAACAGTTTTACACAAAGCAGAAACCAGCAGGTCTGGGGGCTCTAGGTTGCTTGGCTGTGGTGGGGTTTTCCCCCTATAGCAGTCAGGCCCATATGCAAACTTCACAGCTCCTCAGTAATAAATAACCCAGAACCAGGCATTGCCTCATCCCTGGGATGTGTCCTAGAGCTGCAGGGTTGGGGGCAGATGAGCGGTCTTTGCCTGGCAGCTACAAAGGACTTTGTCCTTTCAGTCACCACAACAGCTAGCTCCTTGGTGTGTCAGTGCAGAACCACATTACAGGGCACAGAATCACAAATGCAAGGCGCCAAGGAAAAAAACAGATATAGGCCTTGGCATTTAATTCCTAACCACTGTGAGATTTAGGGTTGGTGCCAGAGCCAACTTCTGGTTTCTGTTCTCATCTACCTTTGGTTTAGCTGTTCTAACCCTCCTTCCTCAGGCAGCCCACCCCTCCAAGCTTAGTCCTACCTCAGGCGGGACACACAAGTCATTGTAGACAGTCTCCACTGTGTGGCAGACTTCCTTGAGTTCTGCTTCCAAATGGGTGATCTTTGTCATTTTCTGAGTGAACTCTTGGAGCTTTTCCTGGATAATCTTGTTGTGGTAATTATAAATCTGATACATCCTCTCTTCTAACTTCTCTGCCAGATCTGAAACCTTTGAAAGAACAAGACACATTCTTGAAAAGTCAAATGAAGCACAACCTTTGTTCAAAGTGGACCTCTTAGATTTCTGAAGTTTTCTTGTAAGAATGGTAAAAACAATTCCAGTGGCTGAGGGTAAAATGTCTATGTGTGGTGGTTTTTATCCCCCCCCAAAGCAAGATGAAAAATTAAGTGTAACAGTAATTATACGGTGGATTGAACTTGCAGATGTTTAATTCTCACTCTTTTTTTTTTCATGTTAGGAAAAAAAGTACAGAGAACAGAAACTAGAGCAAAACTGCATTTGACAAGTAGCTCCTCAGCAGTAGTTCCCTAAGAACATTACACTTTTTCTACTCCATTATACTTTTCTATACTTTAATTTTCTATAGAAACTGTGAAGGGCAAAACAGGACAGACAGTTTGCCTGTTTTATCAAGATATGAAATGTGGAATAAACAGGACATTCCACAGGCACAAAAAAAATGAACATCAGACGTGAGTAGTGGACTTCATTAGAAATATGGTCACTCACATTTTAGCCTCTCAAGTCTCCCATCTAAATCTTTCAGCTTCAAGAGGAAATATGGGTGGGACAGAATAAGCTAGAGAATTAACAAGTCTGGCATGGAAGAGTTACAGCCAGAATGCTCCTTGGAAGGAAGGATGGTGAGACTGTCCCCATACACTGGACATGTGACAAGGGACCAGTCCCTGAGAAGGACACTGTGCCTGGTAAAATAGAAGGTCAGTGAAAAAGAGGAAGATCCGTAATGGGCTGGGCTGACAAGTGGGCTCAAGCACAGCAACACCTGTGAGACGGTGCAGGGCCAAGCAGTGTTGTGCACAGGGTTGCTATGAATTAAGCCTAACAAAAAAAGTCAAATCTCCCACAAACGTCCGCTCTCATAGCCATTAGCTGTTACATGAAATGAGGAGGCCACCTCTGAATACAGAGAGACTTTAATTTCTCATCCTGGCTCTCTTGTCTCATTAGTTTTGAGCCATGGTTTTTTAATCTATAAATTGGTCCAATCTTTTCAAGATAGAAGGGAGAAAATATTATGTTTAAGATACAAGTTGCCTAGCATCATAGAACATAGAAATATATAGTGATGGTCTACCCCCTCTCATTTTAGTGTGCCCAACCCCTTCCCTGCCAGGTGAGGTTTTGCAGTAGGCTTGGGGGAATCTGTCACCTTGATCTTAAGGCTGTCCCTGAAGTTGCTCATGAGTTCATGGTCCTTCTGCCTGCTCTCATTGATGTTTTGGATGATGTCCTGGGCCTTCTTCTTTAAGAGCTCAATGGTCGAGTCCAGAGAGGAGAAGTAGGATCTTAACTTCCCTTCCAGCATCACTTGGCAGTCGGCACTGAAGACAGCAATAGAGGGACTAGAAACCTGATTTCTCAAGTTACAGAAACAGATAAGCAACAAATTCTGGATGGCTGATCTAAATTTGTTATGTAGTGGGAGAAGAATTGTGCTGTCTGCCTGTGGCGAGATATCTGGCTCTTTTCCTAGGTTCTTTCATTCACACTGTCACCCTGAAATACAGGGATAATAAATATTCTATTTGATAACTCAGAAAATAGACCAAAAGGTATAAATCAAATATATGCCTTTAGTGCAACAATGAATGAATGAAAACCCAAAATCTCTGTAAATGTTCATTAAAATTAATAAAATATAATAATTTAAAAAATCTATACAAAGAAAAAAAAAGAAGGAAGTCTCTCAGTATTTCCTGCATTGCTGGTCTTGTTTCCACAAATGCCCTTAGGTTCTGTTTTTCTGGGAATATCTTGATCTCTCCTTCATATTTGATGGACAATTTTGCAGGTTACAATATTCTTGGTTGACAGTTGTGTTCGAGTGTTCGGTATATGTCATTCCACTGTCTTCTTGATCGCATGGCTTCTCCTGAGAAATTGGCATTTAATCTTACCTGCTCTCCCATATAGATTACTTTCTGTTTCTCCCCAGCTGCTTTCAGACTTTTCTCCTTATCTTTAATTCTGGCAAATTTGACTATGGTATGCCTTGGTGTTTTTCTTTGGGGGTCTATTCTATACGGGGTTCACTCAGGTTCTTGAATATAAATTCTCTCATTCTTCATTATGCCTGGGAAGTTTTTTCTTAGTAATTCTTCCACAACTTTTTGGTGCCTTTAGTTGCTTTTTCTGTTCTGGGTTTCTGACTACACACATGTTAATGTGGTGTCCCACATTATTCTTTGGTTTTCTTCTTTTTCCTTATTCTCATGTCTCATTCTTTTTCCCGAACCTGTGAATACATTGCCCATGAACAGATTTCCTCTTCTTGGAGACACTTTTCCACCTTGTTCAGATTTCACACATAATGTGATGCTAGAAACTCCAAGTACTGCTGTTTGTTTTTTGGGTTT